GAAACCCATTACTCCGAAAAATATAGTCATACTTTACCAGAGAAAGGGGGGATGTTCTTCAGCTTAGGCCAGTTCCCGGGGGCCAGTTTCATGCCATGTATTTGGCCAAATTAATGGGATGGACGCATTTTGATGTTCATAGATCTCTCCCCCTCACTTTGAATTGCATTCATTACGGCGTTACCAGAATGGCAGGAACGGGGGATTTATTTTACATTGTGATTCTAAAAAAGGTTATTAAAACACAATATATACACATCATTAAATTCATTTATTTATTGTACCAATAATTCCTTTAAGGGGCAAATGTACAAAAGAAGAGAAAAAAAACTTACATAGACATAATAACGTACAAGTAGAAAAGTACATACAGGGTGTCCAATAAATAAGGTAAAAGATATTGTAACTTTCTTAATATTGCACCAATCTTGATGAAATTTTCAGTGTTTGTAGCCCAAACCTTTTTACCTTTATTCTGTGAATTTGAAGCGTCTTCTATTTGATTGGCCAGAGTTGTAGTTGCTATAGCAACCGAAACAACAAAAAGGCGGGGCAAGTTTGTTTACGTCACAACTTTCCAAAACATATCTATTCTTTCCGATAGCTTTATTCATACTCCCAGGTCTATTACTACCACAAATACAATATCAAAACAGTCCTAAAGTCCAATTTTTATGAAAATAAGCTATTCAACATAATGTCCATCTCTAGCTATACACTTCTTATGCCTATTCACCCACCCTCTAAACACACTTTCAAACCCATTCTTGCCCATTTCCTGAAGTCTTGCTAAGACATGTGATCTGAGTTCATCAGTGCTTCCAAATTTATTTCCTCTTAAGTCACACTTGAGGTCTGCATATAAGTAAAAGTCATTGGGTGCAAGGGCTGGGGAATATGGAGGGTGTGCAAGTAGGGATACCCCAGTGCCCTAATAGTTTCACTAGTGAGCATAGCTGTGTGTGAACTCAGATCACATGTCCTAGCAAGACTTCAGGAAATGGGCAAGAATGGGTTTGAAAGTGTGTTTAGAGAGTGGGTGAATAGGCAAAAGAAGTGTATAGCTAGAGATGGACATTATGTTGAATAGCTTATTTTTATAACAATGGGACTTTAGGACTGTTTTTATATTGTGTTTGTGATAGCAATAGACCTGGGAGTATGAATAAAGCTATCAGAGAGAATAAATATGTTTTGGAAAGTTGTGACGTAAACAAACTTGCCCCGCCTTTTTGTTGTTTCGGTTGCTATAGCAACTACAACTCTGGCCAATCAAATAGAAGACGCTTCAAATTCACAGAATAAAGGTAAAAAGGTTTGTACAAACACTGAAAATTTCATCAAGATTAGTGCAATATTAAGAAAGTTACAATATCTTTTACCTTATTTATTGGACACCCTGTAAATACAGATGTATATATATTAATGTAACTGGATCACGTCGTTACTGGGTGAGTCTGTCTGAAATCTACCTACTGAGCAAAATACTCCTTGTAGAGAATAATTCATTTACCATGTTATAAAAGATGCTGCAATATTGCTCCCCAGCATTAAATAAGAAAGCTAGTAAATCCATATCTGATAGCGAGCCGATATTAGGGCATTTGGTATAAAGCAAGTCTAAATATTTATCTGTGAAATGTTTGAGCTCATTACACTTGAGCAAAAAATGTTCTTCGGTCTCCTGTGCCTTTTTACATAGTTTACAAATTCTGAGTTCGGGTGGAAGATGTGGTCTTTTATATCTACCCACCTCGACTTCAAGCTTGTGACTACTTATTCTAAGCGATGTTAAATTGCGGCGTTCATCTTTATTCTTAATATGGTCAAGATAATTTTCATAATGAAATGAAAATTTGATTTGTTTATAAAACCTTAATTTGCCATTGGTATCTTTTAGCATGTTTTCAAAGTATTGTTCGTATCTTTCTTTAAGCCTAGATTTTAATTTCTTAGTGTTAACATTATGATAATCATTAAAACCTATAAAGGACAAGGTGCAATTATTGGCAAATATCCCTATGGTCAAAATGAATCATTCGTAGGTGTAACATGAAGAATAAAATGTCATATAATACTTTTGGAAAATATTAAAGTGCTCGGACACACATAAACTGAGGTAGGGATCATTTCGTTCAGTAAGGTTGTATTGACTTACATGGGGCTGTGCACCATTGACTTAACATGAGGATATCAGCAGATCCCATTAGAGGCCATTGGTTTCCATTGATTATCACAGAAATACCAAAAATACACTATGACCTGAATCGATTGCAAACTTAATAATTTCACAATACGACACAAATGGTTTGTCTCATCAAATGTGCAAATATGAAGTTTGCAATCGATTCAGGTCATACTTAAAATTTAAAGATTGTACATTTTTTCATCATTTTTTTCCCTACAAAATGGCTATAGTAAAATGCTCCAAAAACAACTTTTACACTTATCAAATATCATACAAGTTTGTAAAACCAAAGATTATACTATTATATTTCATTATGTAGTAACATAAGATAATATGCAGGGATGCATAGGATGTAAATGGATTTTGACAGACACAAAAATACTTCCTGGTTTGGAATCTATGCCTCTACACTTCATGATTGAATTATGACCCTAATAAGTGGCCTAAACATCAATACAGTGCTGAATATAGGTCAACAAGATACTAGTGTGCATATAAATGTAATAATTGAAGCAAAATACTCATTTTGAAAAATCAGATGAAATATTTTTTTCCCATGGGGAGATACCAATGGAGGGTGTATAAGGTCCTTTGAGTACTTTTAGCAAGTCATTATACCAAGAAGGCTGATTACTATTGGCCAAAGATTTACTTAGTTTTAGTTTATCTCTTATAAACTTTGAAGAGTGATTTTCTAAGTGATTGACAAATTTAACTTGTTGGGGGATAATATCAACGAATAAAGATAGTCTGGCCTTTAATTCCCAAGTTACTAGCTTTCTTATGTACACCCAACACAAATCTTAGGAACGACATATGGGTTGACTCAATTTTGATCTTGTCATACGAATTTTCTAGTGCCCATTTAGGATCAGTTTTGATAATTCTATTATTAAGATAGCCGGTTCCCCATATTTCTGCTCCATACATACATATTGGTTTGACAATTTGGTCAAATATTTTAATTGCCAATTTTGGCATTACATCAGCATTAGAAAGTAAAGAGAACAATTTAAACTTTGCTTTATCCGCCTTTTGTTTTATAAACTGGGCCGCTGGTATTAAAGACCCGTTGGAACTGATTTCCATCCCCAGATAAATGTATCTATTAACATTTTCAATTAGTATATTTCCAATATGAAAAGATTCATTACTTATTTTCCCTGTTTTAGTTATCTTCATGATTTTTGTTTTCTTAATGTTAATAGAGAGATACCACCGTTCGCAGTATTTCTTGAGTTTGTCTAACTTGATTTGCATGTCTTCTTTCGAGGAAGCAATTATAACTAGGTCATCAGCAAATACGTCCTATATATTACGGAACAGTTTATCTTATCTTCTCAAATCTCTTTTATTTAGGCAAAATAAAATAAAACATTTTGAAACAGATAAAATAAGTTAACGCATAGAACTTTAAGAATAAAACAGTCACTACGTATTACGTTGTCAAAATATTTCGTCGCATTTCATTTCTTAGTCTCTTTCTCTTAACAAATCGTAAAAGAACAAAACATTCTAAACTTAATCATCGTTTCCGTCATTTGTTTTTTATGTTCTTCTCCTGCAATGTATTTGTTTGACAATAATCAGAGAAAGTGCGTATACGTTTGAATTTGCACGCAAACAAACGGGTGTGACTTCAATTTCTTGTCTGTCTGAGGACGTATTGGGAACGTGGTAGAATTAAAGAATTCTTATGAACGAGTCATGCAAGATACTAGAACTAGTAAAGTAATGTATTGGATAAGTTAATTTCTGATGGACCTGGATAAAATATGTTTCAAAACTTTGTCAACAATAGATAACTACATTAAGGCAGACATAGTATCTTGGTATATTTGGCTATCATGCGTTTAAAATACGTTCCTAAAACTATGAAGACGTTAGGTGAGAAATATTGCTATTGTACGTTCGAAAAGTATTTGGTTGTATTTTATAGTTCTCAAGTTACCCATGAACTTTCATAGGCTAAACATTAAAAAATTAACGTCTTGACTTAGCATATTTAGCCTAATTCTGCAATGATGTCAACGTGATTCCAATGTTATGTTGTGATTCGCAGAGGTTGCCACAAGATTCGTTTTAAGAAATTGTATGTTTTAGATAAGATCCCCTAATTTTCGGAGAACTGGGTTTCGGAAAACTGGGTTTCGGAGAATTGGGTTTCGGACAACTGGGTTGACCCCGTGTGCTACAAGCGGTTATAAAAACTCTATACACTATTATGGACACACTTGTTGCATATCATTTTAAAGCAAATTCCTTAATCTTTCCAATGCAGCAAAATTACTTTAACTAACTCTCTTCAAGTACATGCTTGACAGGGGCGGATCTGGGAACCAACAAGGGGGGGGCCCAAACTTGTGGTCTGAGAAAAAAACCTCCGCGCTTGCGCGGAAAAAAATTTTGGGCCCCAAAAACCCAAAAGTGGGCCCAAATTTTGAAATTTTGAGGCCCATTTTCTTCAAAATTTGGCCTAAAATTATAAAACAAGGCCTTAGAAGGCCAATTTATGACCAAAAAGGCCTACTTTTTGGGGCCTTAAAGCCTTTTTTGGCTCAAAATTTTTTTTGGGCACAATTTTTTTTTTCTGGGCCCACCCAAGGGGGGGGGGGGGCCCGGGCCCCTGGGCCCCCCCCCCAGATCCGCCAGTGCTTGAAGTATACATGTAAATGTGGATTTTTTCTTGGGAATTTGTTACATAGAGAATAAGGCATATTTTGATACATGAAAATTTATAAAAAAATTATCATTCATCTTTCAAAAAAATGATATCTTCCTCAGACATATAGTGGATATACCTAATTAATAACACTGATTTCCAATCTGTATCTTAAGCCTTGCATTTTTTCTGGGTGCCAATATGAAAGTGCTACCAATAGCTTGCTCAAGCCCATTAGATAGGTGTATTTACTGTACGTGAGGTTACTTTATCACATAACTTGAGGATTCAGAGAATGAGATTTTAACTTGTAAAAATTGCGAAATTTAATAGCAGTGGAAACGTGTTCCCAAAATTCGCGAAATTAAAACTCGTGAAATTAACTGGGAGTACAGTAAGTGGCAGATAAACCCAAATTACAGTTTCTTCTTGCTCCACAAAAAGGCAAATAAATTGTTTTTTAATCACTTACAGTAATCATTTTAGAGCAATTTACACTGTGGTTTGTTTTGCTCTCAAAGGTGGTTTAATGTCATCCTCCTGACTGGTCTCACTTTCTTTTAAAAGTCTATGATCCATACTTGTATCTAAAACTCTCTCAGTGACATCAGGTTGACTTCTATATGGAGGTGGGGGCAGAGATTCATCCATATCGCTTACAGCACCAGGACTTGAAGGCATTACATACATAACCTGGCTAAAAGTTCCAGCTCTGTTGGCAGAGTTCCTTTCTGAAACAAAAGTGTTCTGTGGCATTGCATATACATTTGTGGTTTGTCCCTCACTCGTTACAATCATAATTTGTCTAGACTGAGGGTCTTCGGGTAAGAAATGGACATCACCTCTTTGAGCGTCTGGAACATCATAACCGGAAGATGCAGCTTCACAACAGATAGTGCGATAACATATGTATATTGAACAAAAGGAAAATGCACACTCTGTCACAGCTACAACAAGCATCATTGCATGAATAATGATCACACTTGATTCTAGTCCTGGATCATGTCTATGCAGGAAATTGGTGCCTCTACTGTTTGAATCAATCTTTATGCCCAATGCAGAATGTACCAATAATAATATGGTAATTAAGTTGGCTAACACTGACAGTATAAGAAATGATACAATAGTACATTTTGTCATTTTGTTAGAAGCTACAATTCCAAATACACCTGCAGTAACAAATAGCACACCAGTCCAAAATCCAATTCCATACATATGTCCCCATGCACCAATAGCAATGATTGCAATGGCAAGAACTAATGATGCTACGCCACAAATTAATTGTATAACTGCAAATATAAGTCCTTTTTCTTTAACGTAACTAGCGCGATAAGATCTGGGTCGATGCTCTCTTCCACGAGCCATAATTCTATTTATTTTAAATTTCCAGTTTTGTCAAAATTGTTAGCATAAGCTTATTTCCTAGACCTAGTCGAACTTCTAAGGCCTAATTTAGGTACTACAATGGAACACTAATTTTAGAATAAAATAAATTATGGTCCGATTCATAATTCCACTGAGAACTTTAAATCTAAAAAATAAGCAATCAAAGGAACATATTGAAACAGTATATGAAGAAATAGAAACATTACAAGACCTAACATTTGTATATTTTAGTTTCTTTTGTAGTTTGGCTCATATCTGTGCCCACAGACCCATAGCCGGATCAAGTCCCAATTGGTATAGAATAGAAGTAGCAGTCACGCCCGGTGATCGTATAAAATGGATGGAGGGGGATTAGCTGATTTCTGCAATGAAAACTCGACAATTTGGAAGATTTATATTTTCAAGAGAAAATTTACAAATGAATTGCCAAATGAATAGGCGCAGTGCATGGCAAAATATGTTAGGTCATCTAGTATTTTTTTTGAATTGATACCCTTCTAAGATATGAGATCTATTAAAAAAGGCGCATCATCACCAAAGTTCAAAAGTCAATATTTTTGCTATAAATCGGGCAACAATGGTCTACACGACCTGTAATAAATAGGTATAAGGGACGTTATTAACCCATTTTTCAATCTCCAGTGATATAATATCCAGTTTCTTACTGGGTACTGAGTTTAGTTTTTTCAAATAGAGAAGTTCTTGTGAATTTGTTCCATCGTAAAGACATATAAATCCCTCCCCCTCCATCCACTCCCCCTCCATCCAATATTTATTTATTTCGATTTATAACGCATTGAAACTAACTTAAAAAGGGAGCAATGTCATTAGTAGGGAGTTTAAGATTAGCGTAAATAACCCATTTACCTATGCCTATACGTAGTTTGTTATTACACTAAGCGGTATTTTACCTAAGTTACAGGGTTTACGATACGTAATTATATACATAAGCCATCGCAAGGTTTTCATTCTATAATTAGGATGTCATTTTTAACATAAATTGTAGCATACGGTTTCGTAGCTTTTTACGTTAATCTTAAACTCATTTTGCAATACGCATTACCTATACGCATCCGTAACAAACATACGAATAGGGATAGGTACACGTATATTTTTACGCTAATCTTAACCTCCCTAGTATTGTGATAATAACGTCCCTTCATGCCCTTATACCTATTTATTACAGGTCGTGTAGACCATTGTTGCCCGATTTAGAGCAAATACATTGACTTTTGCACGTTGGTGATGATGCACCTTTTTTTAATAGATCTCATATCTAAGAAGGGTATCAGTTAAAAAAAAATACTGGATGACCTAACATATTTTGCCATGTACTGCGCCTATTCATTTGGCAATTAACTTGTAAATTTTCTCTTGAAAAAATAAATCTTCCAAATCTGTTGAGTTTTCTTGCAGAAATCGTTCATACACCAACCAATTTAGTGTCCGAAAGCCATACCAAATGCCCAAATATGAGACCAATGCCATACCAAATGTCTAAATACAGGACCAATGCCATACCAATGCTATGACTAGTCCAAGTTAGGATATTTCTCGGGAAAAAAAGCTAATATTCAATCTGAAGAAGGTCCCAAGAAGAAGGTGATCTTTGGAAAACGTTCCAAAACAACCTCAAATTTAAGGAAATGTGTAAATACTACACCAATGCCATACCACAAGTGTGAGATAACATATTTTTCATGACCATTCTCATACCAGAATATGGAAAAATCTGACCATTGCCATACCTCAAAAGTCATAATGTGGGGGCATTCTCATACCAGATCCTAAATTTTGGGTCCATTACCATGCCAAATGTCAAAAAAGGTACCCCATCATGGGCGTGGCGCTATATTTCTAAGTAGTACGCCACCACGGGAACAATAGTTGAGCGAAGCAAAAATCGAGCGTTAAGGGGGGGGGGGTTTGGGGGTTCTCCCCCAGGAAAATTTTGAAATTTGGCTGTATTTAGGGCGAATTTGCAACCATGCATCTGGTACGCCAGCTGGTACCCAGCGTACCAGTCGCTACGCCTATGCCCATGTGCGCCGAGGATCCCCGTCAAGGTTTATGCACATGGTCATGGCAGCTAGGATCCTCGCGAAACATTGTCGCTAATAACATGGTGACGGCACAACCGGGTTGTGCCAGGCATAAGTCTTGCAATAGATAGCATGTGATCTAGGCCCTATACAATACATTACTATCTGAAATATACAAAAGTTAGGTTTTGTACAATATGTTTCTATTTTTCATATACTGTTGCAATGTGGTCCGTTGATTGTTTAAGGTACAGCTGGAAAGTAACATTTTGGTAAAAATAAATTATTCTTTGAGCCTACTACAAAACGATCTGGCCAATATCTGTGACAGGAACTACCATTGACCTGTTTCCAGGTTTACTAAAAATAGACAATGTAATGATCCTTTCCTGAAAAAAGCAAGGAAATACACACAGGACTTCATACTTAATTTTGTACCAGAAAATAACATGTGCAGGTACAGCAATTTTTTACCAAAATGTTACTTTCCAGCTGAACCTTAAATTCAAAGTTCTCGTAATTTTTAGAGTCCATTTCCACACCTGGTGATCGTAAAAAATGGATGGAGGGGGGGATTAGGCGATTTCTGCAAGAAAACTCAACAAATTTGGAAGATTTATTTTTTCAAGAGAAAATTTACAACTGAATTGCCAAATGAATAGGCGCAGTGCATGGCAAAATGTGTTAGGTCATCTAGGTTTTTTTTTGAACTGATACCCTTCTAAGATATGAGATCTATTAAAAAAGGCGCATCATCACCAACGTGCAAAAGTCAATGGTTTTGCTATAAATCGGGCAACAATGGTCTTCCAGACCTGTAATAAATAGGTATAAGGGACATTATTATCACAATACTAATGACATTGCTCACTTTTTAGTTAGTTTCCATGCATTATACAAAAAATAATCGAAATAAATTGATAGTGGATGGAGGGGGGGATTGGATTGAGGGGGGATCACGTGTATGTAAGACATGATAAGATATGCTGATGAATTTATTCTTATGACTCCAAATTTTCCCATTTTTCATTCTCCAGAGATATAATATCCAGTTTCTTACTGGGGTACTGAGTTTAGTTTTTTCAAATACACGAGTTCTTGTGAATTTGTTCCATCGTAAAGAGATAAAGTCATATTAATCCCCCCTCCATCTGCTCCCCCCTCCATCCAAAATTAATTAATTTCGATTATTTTTTGTATAACGCATGGAAATTAAATTTAAAAAGTGAGCAATGTCATTAGTATTGTGATAATAACGTCCCTTATACCTATTTATTACAGGTTGTGTAGACCATTGTTGCCCGATTTATAGCAAAAACATTGACTTTTGCACGTTGGTGATGATGCACCTTTTTTAATAGATCTCATATCTTTAAAGGGTATCAGTTCAAAAAAATACTAGATTACCTAACATGTTTTGCCATGCACTGCGCCTATTCATTTGACAATTCAGTTGTAAATTTTCTCTTGAAAAAATAAATCTTCCAAATTTGTTGAGTTTTCTTGCAGAAATCGGCTAATCCCCCCTCCATCTATTTTGTACGATCACCGGGCGTGATTTCACTGTTTAACTGCGTCAGTAAAAGCTAAAAAATAAGAAATCAAAATATCATTTTGCAATAATATATGGAAAAATATATTCCTATTGTACATATAGGCGTAGCGCCCGGTACGCTGGGCACGCACAGGCGTACCAGATTGTTGCAAATTCGCTCTAAATACAACCAAATTTCAAAATTTTCGTGGGGGAGAACCCCCCAGACCCCCCTAAACGCTTGTCTTTTGCTTCGCTCAACTATTCGAGGTGGCGTACAACTTAGAAATATAGCGCTACGCCGATGACATGAATGACATTTGTATATCTTGGATTGCTTCTAGTTTGGCTTATAAAGTGTGTGGCCTCTTATATTTGGATGCTTCTCTGCCATGTTATTTTCAAAAAGATTAAGGTGACTGTTAACTTAATCGATTTTCAGAAAAAATTGAAAATTTCACAATCTTGAAATTTTCAAACTCTTCCTGAGAAGTCGTTTTTATTATTTCACATATGCTTGTGCACTGTAATCATTACTAAGACATCAAAGAACAACAAAAAACTTTAGTTTGAGAAAAAAGTGCCGTTTAAAGAATTTGAGAAGATTTTTTTCTAGGAGTAGCCCGTGAAAAACCGCTGATTCAAAATATCTGAACATTTCAGAAAATATACTTCAAACATATATCAAAAACGAAGGAGCAACGGAAATTTGAAAAATTACCCGATAAAAAAATTGGGATCAAAATAAGGAAAAAAGTACACTTCTCAAATTGTTTTTTTCTATTTTTTTAAATTTGTATGAGAGATTTCAAAATTCTAAAGCTCCTTTCATTTTGGGCTATATTAAAGGGATGTTTCAGAGAAATTAGAAAAAAAATGTTCAAGGACCTTTGCCGTGCTACTCTTTTTGTCAATTTTTCTGTCACATTTTCAGAGGACTCAAATTCCCATTCCAAAATGTTTACTGTTTCTATTTGCATTACCACAGTGAGCCTGGTTATATAAATGATAAGTGGAACTAAAAAATTGAGAGAAAATCCAACCAAAAGACAGTTAATTTTGATGGTCAGATTATACTCAAATGCCATGTGCTTCCTGGTTTCGGCCATCTTGGATTTTTTGATTAAGTTAGAAGTTACCTTAACATGGCTGAAATTCTTCAAATACAAGACGGCACAGGCTTATTGCACAAAAAACTAAAAAATCTGAAATATACAAATGTCATTCATGTGGGGTCAACCCAGTTGTCCGAAACCGAGTTGTCCGAAACCCAATTCTCCGAAACCCAGTTGTCCGAAACCCAGTTCTCCGAAAATTAGGGGATCTTATAAAAAAAACAATTTCTTAAAACAAATCTTGTCGCAAGTTAAAAATGACATAAATTTTTGTCCCTAAATCTTGACACTGATGTAAATATGCTAAGTCAAGACGTTAATTAGCCCACGAAAGTTCATGGGTACAACTGGGTTTCGGACAACTGGGTTTCGGAGAACTGGGGTGTACCCCATTCATGTACATTATGAATATACTTTTCAATATATTATTGCACAATGGTCTCCCAATTTCTTATTTTTGCCGTTCTTCTACTGACGCAATGAAGCAGTGAAATGGACTTAGGCTAACAATTTCAGAATTTGTCAAGCTTTAGAATTTGGCAGTCTTCTATGTAGTCTCTTCGATCCTTAGATACTACTCACGAAAGTATTAATCCATCTTTTCAGCATAACTGTAGTAATTGTCCATTTTGTGGGATATTTTTAAGATTTTTCCGAAATATTTTCAAAATCCCCGAAGCAATTATGCTACCAAACATTTGATTGACGCAATTTGAAGTAGGTCGATTGTATTGACCAATGAAATTCAATCTCCCATTCTGTTCTGTGTGTCAACTTCCGTCAAAAATGTCAGAAGAGGTTTGTAAGTTCGCCTATGACGGCCAATTAGGCATATTAAAACATAAAACAGAAGCTAACAGCGGTCTTCTCACTGAAAAAGATAAGGTACATGTATACTGTAATGATCCTGGCATCATTACTTTGTACTTTTATTTGTACATTCATTTTATTTTATATTGAGTTTGTGCATTAGCTCTATCTGAGACCCTATCTGTTGCAAGACTAACACCTGGCGTAACCGTCACCATGTTATTCAGCGTTTTTAAGTAGCGCAAGGATCCTGTCATGACCGTGGTAATGTTATCATGAAAGCCTGGTATAACCGCGACAATGCTGTATTAAATCGCAATGCCTGCCATGACCGTGACAATATAATATAGTTCTGCAAGGCTTGGCATGACCGTGACAATGTAGCATAGTACTGCAAGGATTGGCATGACCGTGACAATGTAATATAGTATTGCAAGTTCAGGTATGAGAGTGGTAATGTAGAAATTTACGATTAGGACTGCTATAACCGTGACAATGTGAATTGCAAAGCCTGGCATAAGCTAACCAAACCCGTCTGGCCCAGTTATCTACTCCTGAGTCGTAGATCTGGGCCAGACTCGATCCAATGCAAAAAATGGGGTATGTACTCCGGAAAAACACACTGGTTTTTCAATGTATAATACGTGCTGATAAATGAATAAACATCATAAAAATCACTTACGTGTTTGTTCCTTGTATCAAACTTTGTATTTATATTAGGTTTCCATCGCTGGATGACGGCTAATAAATAAGAACGAAACGTCTAAACGCAGCAAAAAGAAAAATTCTTCTGCAATCTGTTCGTGATCTCGTAGAACATCAAGAAGTCTCGGCTGCTTATTTCGTTCAGTACTACATTCCGTCCGTTCAACAAATTGAAAAATCGTATTTAATGTCCACCATATTTCTTTCCAGTTTAAATACAACACAGACACGTCTGTTTTATAAAGTAATCTACGTTTTGATAACAAATCTGCTGAACAAATCGTAATATTTGGAATGTATTGATTCCCGGGAAATGTATTTTCGTTCCATGAAAGTTTAAAAATTATCGCGTCACACTCGTGTTACGTCACATCACGTGACTTTATTCGGTGCGGAGAACTGACGAAATATTGACGAAATGTTGTGCCCATTTCAACATCAATATAACAAACAAAACACCACATTTACGCGTAAGTTATGTTCTCTTTATTTCAAATAAATACTTGGGTTTACATGGTACCCGATGTTTTGGTTGGATGGCTAATAGGGAATGAATTATAAGTGATGATTCAGCAGTGTGTTTTTTCCGGAGTAAATACCCCCTTTTTTGCATTGGACCTAGTCTGGCCCTAGATCTACGACAATTCAGAATCGGGAGTAGATTACTGGGCCAGACGGGTTTGGTTAGGCATAAGCGTGCCAATGTAATATAGTATTGCAAGGCCTGGCATGCCCGTGACAATGTAATATAGTATCGCAAGGCTTGGTATGACCACCGTGGCAATGTGATATAGTATTCCAAGTTCGGGTATGAGAGTGTTACTTCAGTCCAAAGCCTTCTCTATATTCCGGCTTTGAGTAGAAGATTGAGCTGCCTTGCTATGAATATTGTAAACCATTGTGTTACACGCACAGTAAATATGGCATAATAATATGAAATATACCTTTATGTATACGATTTGAAGAACATCAGCTCACATCCCCGTCTGAATCTATTGTTATATTTGATTTCTTTAAGCGAGAATAATTTCAAAGTTTCCTCCATTTTATTCACGTCCAGAACCGGAAGCCATTTTTAGCTACAGCGAGAAAATGTCACCATGTGTCAAACTCCGAAATGAAATTTTGAAATATCTAAATCCAGACAAGCAACGCTTCATCCTAAATATAATTAATATTCTTAAAAATATTTATAAAATTTATAAAAAATGAGTACTAAGTGCGTGTAGGTGCGTGTAGCACCTTTTCTAGAGTTCATACGAAATCAATGAAGTTACGTCTAGCTGTAAGCTAGAGACTCCAGTAATGAGAGTGGTAATGTAGAAATGTATGATTGCTATAAGTGACCGTGACCATGTGTATTTGAAAACCTGGCATGACCGTGACAATGTTTTATGGGATCGTTAAGCCTGGTATGACCGTGACAATGTAATATAGTATTGCAAGGCCAGGTATGAGGGTGGTAATGTAGAAATTTAGGCTTAGTCCTACTATGACCGTTATAATGTATTGCAATGACTAGTAAATATGTATGACATTCATGCCAGGAATATCCTTAACAATTTTAAGTGATCGTCATTACAATTTAACAGTTGAACACTATGATCATGGTGTTTAACTACCTTAATCATGTCAAAATCAAACTTACACATTAATGTTCAGATTCGCTTATAAACCACAATAAAGGCTACGGTCGCGCCAGGCTTCCACGATAACACTTCCAGGGTCATGACAGGCCTTAAAATATAATACAGCATTGTCACGGTTATACCAGCCTGTCACGGTTATACCAGGCTTACACGATAACACTACCACGGTCATGACAGGATCCTTGCGCTACTTAAAAACACTGATTAACATGGCGACGGTTGTGGCAGGCGTAAGTCTTGCAATAGATAGCATGTGCATTATCTTTATCTTAGATACTTGTTTCAAATGTTATTTTGTTTATAATGTGATTTTACAAGGACCATCAGTCCTAAAAGTGTTTTAAAGCAGAGAAAAAAGCTTAGCCAATGAGAGTCAAGTTAGGGGGATAAGTATTTAATGTATTGACCAATGGTGTTGGCTCTAGAGTCAATACACGGTGCCCATGTCAAGCTGCGCGCCTACTTAGGCGCGCAGTTTGTTTCGATCACAAACTGCGTGCCTAAGAACATTGCATCATTTAAGTTGGAGTCTGTATTTTGAAACGTAATTTAAAGACATTTATCCTGCATTGTTTTCTTGTTCAATGCGTTCATTCTGTGGCGAATATACGAATCTTGCAAATACTAGCAAAAACTATGTGCAAATGAATCTAAGTTTTAAAACATAAGCAGATTAATGGCATTTTCGTCACTGATTTAACGGGAATTTATGCGTAAATCGATCTAGCACTTTAAACATAAATGACAAATACTTTAGACTCGTTTTATATTTAATTCCTTACACTTACCTTCTTCTAAGGCCACTCAGTGTTCGCGCTAGCCATTAAAATTTCTGAGTCCCAGGGACGCAATCCATTTGAAAAATTTGAGTCCCCATCTAATTTTTTTGCGTCCCTCTTATTTCTTCACAAAGTTCAAGAAAATATTGTGAAAGTGAAAATAAAGTGGGCGATAATAGAGTGCTTACACTAAAATGGGATAAAAATGACATATATTGTAATTTGATGCATCCTCCCGATAAATATCTATCACTTGGTCCTTTGCACACAATTTTTAAGTAATGTTATACCAAAATAGTCCGAAATGAATAAAGAAAATGCTCAAATTAAGAGTTTTGTTTTCACAATCTACAAACTTGCGATCTTGAAGGTCATGTCAAGGTCGTGAACTTTTGCTTCTTTTTATTAACATTTCTCCTTATTCTGAAGACTTTTAGATGAAAAACCTCGATCTATCATTAAACAATTATCTTGATGTATAACATTAGATCGATATATAATGGTTTCTAGTGGAAATAATAAAAATAATCGTGAAAAACAATCGTTTCAATTTGTGGGGAACCACAGGGGATTTCTGCAATATTGTATGTTTTGATCTTCCATTTCGATTGCGGCATTTTCCGGAATATATCGGAACCAATCAAAATCCATGTCTCATACTGGAAACTCTGTTAATCTTCGGTAGTCATGATAGCCAATCAGATTTATCGATGTAAATATACCTGGATCATTGCTCGCCATATATCAAGGTAGTGAGTTTGAAAATCTTGATGAAAATCATGTTTCACCGCTACTGTGCTGCAGTAAAAGTTATCTTGAAGCAGTTTATAATTTTTGCGTCCTAGGGACGTAAGTTGATTTTGATTTTTACGTCCAACCTTCTGAAATTTCCGTAAAAATGGCAAAAAACACTGCCACTGTGTCGTGGCCTTCCAGTACAGATATATTCCCGCATGAACAACTGGTCATGTCGTAATCATAAAATTTGAAATCATATGTCCGCCATTTTTCCACATCACAATTTGAATTGCGAGTTTTGGTCTTATTACCTCACCAAAAATTCCAAAACACACATAAAGTGATCAGTGTATTAGTTCACATCTTCTGGATCGCTAACTTAGAATTTACAGCCATGCAGTTACTAACGTCAGACGTTAACGACATTTCGTCCAGTTTTCGAACATCGCCATTTTTCTTGGAGCCATTTTGTTTTAATTTTAGACGAAATCCTGATGAAATCATGTCATATCTCATCAAGGAGCCGAGCTGGGTCCGGTTTGATTAATGATTTATTTTTCTAGCGATTTTTAAAATATTCAATAAATTTATGACACGGCGGCCATCTTTTTTCAAATGGAGCTCACAGTATTCCAGATGAAAACCCCTCTAGCCAAGTATTGGCTAGAGACTCGAGTAACCTTACACATTTATCATGTATAATTCAAAATATTTCGAGATAAAACAGATAATCAGGAGATTAAAAAGAAATAAATCACAAACTGCGCGCCTATTTTAGCCAGAAATTACAAACTGTGCGCATACACTATTAAAACTACATATTATCATTGGAATTTCTACAGAGGCACGTGTAGGTGTTTTTCATGTAGCTTTGGAAATTTTGCTTTATCGTCAGATTTTATGAGATTTTCATATTGAAAGTCAAAATGTATAATAGAAGTGACAATTAAGTTGGGAACGAAAAAACTTTTATTTTTAGATCACCATCTTGGTGGATGGACTCTCATAGTGTTTCAATTATGGGGTTCTACTATTAGACACATATGTGCCTTGTATGGGGCTTATGTTTTCTAATAATACAAAACAAGCTTGGATAGGCAAGCAGTTTGGAAATATTAGGAACGCAGTTTGGGAAATACATGTGAATATAGGCGCGCAGTTTGACAAGAAAAATGTTTAAATCACGTTTATGGCGTATTATCGT